CAGTGGAGAGTGGATGTCCAAAGCTCCAAAAAGACGGTATAGCCGGTATAGCTGTTTTGTACCTGTAGCTCAGGAGGGAGGCGAGGAGCTATCCATCTACCTCATCAAACCGGGAGCCGAACTTGGAGCGACCACGTGATGAAGCCCTGCCTCAACCCCTTGCAAGTCCTTGCTTTTTGCACATCAAAACCCTAGCCTTCAAAGACCATTAAAAGAACGGTTGAGCTGGTGGTGTAGTGTAAGAATCCTTGGTAAAACAATGGTTATTTCGTAAAGACCATTAAACCAATGGTAGAATCCTAGGGCAAAACCATCTTCCTTGAGATGAGCTGCCCAACGACAAACGGGCGACAGCGACGTTCACGCCACCTCCCCAGGCCGCCCAACGCTTCTTCGAGCGCTATGCGGTCATCCGGGATGAGGTGGCGCTGGATCTGGTGGTGCATTTGGGGGCCATCCAGGTGTTTCAGGTGGGCCAGTTTTCCAAGGCAGGGCGGGCGGTATCGGGATGGCTGGCGGGCATGGCAAGGTCAAGTGAATTGGTGGGGATGAGGAGGAGGAGGTTTGAGGTTTCACAGAAGGAGATCTGCGTTTGCATGCCAGGTTTTGGTGGGTTGGGATGCTTTTTCATGGAAACCGTGATGGCCTGATTGCCGAATTTCAGAGGAGTCACCCTTGATGAGGTAGGCTAAATACATGTAGACTCTTGATTCATAAAGGCTCCCATGTGAAGAGGATGTCCAATTGACATGGGGGGGTGTTATTAATCAAGAGTCTACATTAGCTAGGTTAATCTGCAAATTGTGCCCCTTCACCATTTGTGATGGGAGGCCTTTTTTGCGGTTCAGTTTTGCCACTGACAGGCTTTACAGTAACTTTACAGTTTATGGCCACCCAAGTGACCGATGACCCATTGGACACCATTTGCCCTGAGTCATGCGGATGCAACAAAATCCTCCACCAGCGTAGTCATACCACAGATCCCAGGCCACTGCTCAATGGATGCGATGAAGTGGTTTAAGGGAAAACCTGCAGGAAACATAGGTTTTTTTGGGGTGAAAACCATGGTTTCCTGTAGATGTTCCTTTAAACCAATTCATTGGATGGATGCAATCAGGCTTGGTTTTGTGGTGCGCACAAGATTTGTCCATTTCACCCTTCGGAATTCATAGTTCTTCGCACTTAAAAATGTCTTCAAGTGCTGCAGGATCTTGTCCCCTTGAGTCCTTCATCACTTCTATCATCTTCTATCCAGAAATTGCTTCGAACCACACTGCCGGTCTATTTCCTGTCATGCGTCCCCTGCAGCATTTCTCCGCTGGGTCAGGACCAGTTGGGCGTGGAAGAAGCGCGGATCTTCCCACGGCGAGTTTGGGCCAAGGTGGCTCATGACGAGATTGCCAAGAGCTGCGCGCTGGGCATCGAGGTGCAGTGATGCATTACGGTGGGTCTCTCTAAGCCGGGAGGCCTGAGAGATGTGACACCCCAAAAGTGAGTTGAACATGTGACCCCCATCAATTCCCACTAGATCATCTGTACTGGAAACCGTTTCTTCTCTTCTTTGACCATTTTGTTCGGGGGGGCTTTTTATTTTGGGTTAGGAGGACTGTTGGGTGCTTGGTTGAAAGTAGTTCCGCACTGCAGCGCCGTCCATTGGAGAAGACGAGTCTCCAGGGTAGCTCCCGGTAGCGCAGGTCACCCGAGCCCTCTAAAACTCCATAGAACTCAGACTGCTAGGTCAAACACAAGCTCTCTCCACTCTCATTTGCTACTTCTCCACTCAGCTATCTCCAACATCTCCAGTTCCCTGGCCCTCCAGGACCATGAAAAAATCTTTGACCTGCGGCTTTGTAGTGGAAAATGCTAAAATCTTTCGTAAACCCATGATTGTTCAGGATTCGATCCCCTATTTCCTTTTTCACTCTAGTGCTGAGCTTGGAATCCTATAAAAACGCTCTTGCTGCTAAGTCCTGACACCCATGTGGGTAGTTCATCTCCCAGCTTGCCCAACCTTCCTCCTTCCACCTGGCCCATTCCGCGGCAAGGACGTTGGCCGCGGCCCCGCCGCGCCGTGGATCGCGGGCGCGTCGCACGCCGAGCCGGGCGTGCGGCAGGAAGCGCCGGTAGAGCCGCCGTTGGGGGGCTTGGGTGCGTCGAGGCGCTGGAGCCCGTGGCGTGCAAGGGGAGAGGATGTGCAGGGGGAGGAAGTGCAGGGAGCAAGGATTGTAAAATAGGAAGTGTGGGGAGTCGAGCTGTGTCGAGTTGGTTTTCTCCTTCCTGCTGTAGGCCAGTTGTGAGATGTGTTTTCTTTTAGGGGTTTCCTGGCGGGTGGGCAGATGGTTGCAGAAGATTCAGCAACGTGGAGCGGGCGATGCGGGAAGTATCCGGCCAGATGTCCAGATCACCCAACTAGACGACAGGGTGGCCCGAAAGCACAATAGGAGAATGCAGGAGATGACACAAGGTAGCAATGATGATATTAGTAATGATGATGATGGCGACGACGACGACGACGATGATGATCATGTGGAGGAGGTTGATGTTCTCGTTTCTGAACTACGTCAAGAACCAGGCCCTGTGCAGACCTGTCTGTAAAGATGCACCTAAACTCCTGTATCTAGACAACCTCCAAGCATTTGTCTCCAAACTCTTGTATTTGTGTAGGGGTCCTTTAGCAATTGCATCGCCATCTCTGCACCTGTATGATGATGATGATGATGATGGGTTGACGGAAAGCCCTTCCCAGGTGCTTTCAGGAACAGAATCCCTAACAAATTCTTAGCCAGTCGGCCCTCAGCTGAGCTCAGCCCAGGAATTGGTGCTGTGTGAACAAGGCGGCCAGCGACCCCCAAGCCTGGCCAGCGCCACAGCCCACTGTCCAACGAAGCGGAGGAGGTGAAGGGCTGCAACTTGACAGAACAACAACCTGGATCTTCCCATGATTTTCCAACTAGGTCAAGAATCCGCGTTGCCAGCTTCAAAACCAGCCAGCAGGCAAACATTTTTGCATGTTTGGAAGATCCAAGAACCCAAACTTCTGTTGTGACTCTTTTTTACCCGCACCACCATGGGCCAGAACCTCCGGTTGTAAAACCATTTGCCGGTGAACCGTTCCTAGTACCATGTTTATGAACAGGTGTCACGCAGCTCGTGTTCCAGATCCGCACCTTGAGTTCCATTCTCGGTGTCGCTCGATGTTTTTTCTCGGAGATTCGTTCAACGATGTTCAACGACTCTGTCTCACAGCAGCTCGCTGGGCCGAGCTGCCGAAACCGGACGCCGCGGGTGGGGCGATCCATAACGACGCGGTGGAAGCGATCGAGGATGCAGTTGGCCTTTTGGAAGGTTCGCGAGTCGGACTTCGGCGCCTGGATCCACGAGCAGGAAGAAGAGCCTTGGGAGATCAGCCGATGTGACGCGGTCTGTTCGGGTTTTTGGAGGGGTGTGCGGGGTTCAGAACAGCAGACACGACCTGTTTGGGGACGGTTGGCTGACATTTTTCACCTCCCCATTTTAATTGGACATCCTCTTCAGATGGTTTTAAGATCAAGAGCAATACATCATGTAAAAAGGAGTATTTGGGTACCACTTGGGAAGGAAACAAAGATGGGTGTGGATGCTCCTGCTGCTGCTGCCGTTCTGGGATGGTTATTGCCCCTTCGTGAGGTTCCTCCTCAAATTGGATTTTTGCCAATCAGGATCCCACTGGAATCGTTTTGCAATTCAGGGCCCACTTGGATTGGCTCGCCCAGAAGTGCCTTGACTAGCAATCCTTCAGGGTGTAGGCTCAGTGGGTGTGCCCTGAGGAATGGCGTGGCAAGATTTTCTTTGGCCGCCAAAGCTTCTGAAGGGCCAGCCACGCGGAAACGACGAGCGACGGGTGGCCTAGCAATCCATCCCAGAGAGAGCTATGCAAAACCTCTTCAGACGGTTTTCCTATTGATCCAGACTCTACATTGCCATGTTTGTGCATATGTTTCAGGAGTCTCCTGACACCTTCAGACATTTTTTGCATGTGTCTCTCATTTGCTGGCCAAAGGCGCATGTGTTGGCATGTGTTGGCGCCGTTGCTCCCTGCTCCTCAGCAGTTGGTTGAAGTTGAGCCTGCACAGTCAATGAACGTGTCTTTTTGGTTGGATCCTCTTGGGCTCGAACCAGGGGCAAAGGAACTTCAACATAATTACTTCAACCAATTCCTTGTGCATACTCCAAGAGATCAAGACGCTGATGGGTCATTGAGAAAGTTGTGTTCTTTTCCATTCGTTTTGTTGCTATTCTCGGGTGGGATGCCTATGAATCCAAACCCCACAGTGGTTGTTGAAGCTCGCTGCGTTTTGCAAACATGCCTATAGTCGGTCCCCCACCTCCTTTCTCCTCCTTTCAGCTGTCGAAACCGATAGACGCCTGACCAAAGATGTCAGATGGCCAAAGTGCCCGCGTCCTAGCTTTTTTCTCTCCGTGTCACCGCGAAAAATGCCTCAGGATGGGTCCAGGGTCGTGTGACGCGCTGGATGGAGGGCTAGGGGAGTGGCCTGGCCAGGTAGGGCCCAGGTGATTCCCAAAGCTGTTTGGGCATGTGTGCCACTGCAAAACCGACACTGAAGATACACTGAAGCAGCTGGCTCATGGGTGCAGCTTACTTTCGGCCCTGGCAGCTTAGGGTGCTGGCGCCCCCATTCAATGACACTTGTTTCTTATGTTTTTGGTGTGTGTGTGTGATGAAAGACGGAAGACAGAACGGATACAAGTCATACAAACATTTGCATCAACCAGCAGCAAGAACCGAATATAACTTGCTTCGCGATTGGAACTTCTGATGCAGACCAAATCTTCACAATTCAGTTGGATCTCACTGTCCACCTTCCCAGCAGAGGTTGAAGAACCCGAACTAGGCTATAGGGTTCAGGTCACTTGTAACCTCTGTTGGTCCTTTCCGTTTTCGTTTGCGGATGTCGGCGCCCTCGCTCGCTCGAGAACCTCGGTGCGTCCGTCCGTGACAGGTACGGCTCGGAGGCCACGCTGGAGGAGCCGGCGCTCGCAGGGGCAAAGACGCCGGAGGACCTCGATGGTGCGGCGCGGAGACCTGGTGGGAGTGGGTGGGGCGGTGCCGGGCAGGGCGGTGCCAGGAGATGCCTGGGGGAGAAGATGAGAAAGATTCAATCGAAGTTTGGGGAGAGATTTGGGGGCTGGGATGATTTGGTGATTGAGGCAGCATGATGGGGTGATGATATCATTTGATCATGATCCGATTTCCTGATGACCCGCCTCCCTGTGGGTGATGACGGGACGATTTTCCCCCCATCTCAGTTTTTTCCGGTGACCCAGGACGTCTGGGTGACGGGGATTGGACGTTCGCTGTGCACTTACCTTCTTGCAGAGGACCACCTGGAACCCCAAACCCGCTGGGCCACTGGGTTGTAGATTTTCCACAGGTGATTCTCAGCTTCCATCTTAACCTGCAGGGGAGTACATCTAAGTGGAACACCCTCGGTAGAAGGAGCCACGCCACAAGACTCGACCGGGCCCCGAACTCGACGTCGGTGCCTCCGCGGCAACACAGGTGACTCCCGAGGAGGCGGATCCGAACCAGGCGGGGCGTGAACGCGCCGAACGCGGGACGGGCCGCCGGGTCCAGATGGCTCAGGGACGTTGGGTGTGATTTCGCGACGCTTCTGAAAGGCATTTGGGATCATTTTGGATGATTTGGGGATATGGGTCAGGTTGGGGATCAGATTGGCTGCGTTTACCTGGTCTTGACCAAATTTTTCTGATTTTGTTTCATGTTTATGAATTGTTTTTTTGAAACATCACGCGTTTCTCACGGTGTGCAAAGGGCCTAGTGCATAATAGCCTGTCGAGGTTGTGCCGCCTTTTCCCATGGAATTCGTTCAAAGTCATTCAGTGGGTGGTCCCGACATCATCCGCAAGATTCGCAAGACCCCTGCGAGTCAAAGATGTCAAAGACTATATATAAACAGAATGGTCTGACTAAGTGACCCGAAAAGGGGCTTCCTTTACTTCAATTGGTCAAAATATCATCTTTGGACTTCAGTTTGGGATTGTTAACAGACTATGGCCAGGCTATGATGCTATTGGCGGGGTCAGGCACGAAGGGTTGCGTGCCTTCCTGGGTTCTTCCACCATAACCTCATCCGGCAGGTCACGGATGACGAAGGTCCATCCCCGCCCCTTGGCCGGGAGCGGTGACGCGTGATCGGTGACCTGTCCGCTCATGGTCGCATCGGGACATCGAAGATGTCTCAAGCGCGGTTCGATCGCTGATAAAGACGGCTATTATACCCTATAGGATCCCCGCCCGAAACAAAACAAGGGTTTGGTTTGGGGCCCCAGACCCTTGTGAACTAGAGGGTTCGACCCCTTCTAAGGAGGGTCCGTTTGGATCCTTAGGGTATATTGCGTAAAGGGTCAGCGCTTGTGTAGATTTTGGCTTCAACTCCAACAGTTCACGACTGCTCTGTACTATAATGGGTCATCGCGCATGGCTCACCTGGCCTATGGCCTATGGTGGCCTTAACCAATCATCTCATGAGAAGAACGAAGTGCTGAGGGCAGAAGCTGCAGAAAAGGATAAGAAGGAAGAGAAGAAAAAGGACCGAGGGCAGAGCTCCTGCTGATCCCCGCGGATTGGCCGTTGGAAGATCTTGAGTCATCGAGCCCGCAAGACCGTCCTAGTCATTGTCCTTCTTTCCGGTTGATTTAGGGATTATGGAAGTGGTTAACGTTTGTAGACTTCCTGAAGTGGCGATGGTTTTACAGCAAGTGGCCAGAGTTTTAACTATATACTGACCTGCAGCAAGTTGAACATACATCAGCAGAACCGCACAAGTGCCAAACGTAGCTGAAGTGTTGGAAGTAGTCCATCATGGATGCTGGCAAGAATCTGACAACATGCTTTGGCAGGAGAAGAAGGAGAAGAAAGACAGCAAGTAACCGCTGCAAATCATGCAGAAAAGAGAGAGAGAGAGAGAGAGCGCTGCGTTGCTTTGCGCTGCCCATTTGCATGAACCAACGGTGTTCATCAATTCTAAGTTTGTGGGACCATAAAATGGGCCACGTAAGTCATAAGATGCCATAAGGATTACAATGGATCCATACAAAAACTTATATATGTATCCATTCTTCGGTGAAAAAAAGACAGACTTCACACCCCAAAACTTCGGGCTTGGACCTCGGCTTGGACATCTTCGGCGAAACCCATCGCAACAGTGGCACCTATCACGAACAGCACGACCGGTGCTGTTCGTGATCGTGGCTGGGTGGACTCGCCAAGTCGGACACTTGAAGGACCCTTCCGACCGCTGTCATGGTCCTTCTGTCATGGCCACGGTCCAGGCTTCCCTTCGGCATCCCACGTGATATCGCCGTGAACCTGCGGTGTCGTGCGGCCTAGGATACGGTGGATCCAAGAGCAAGCGGTAGCAGCAGGGCAACAAAAGATCTTTACCCTAGGGATCCACATACCTTTGCAGAAGGTAGGGCTGGACCCGACCCGGGCGCCTACATAAATAGTGTCTCAAGTTTGGTATGTGGATCCATAGGGTTGAATACGGGATACCGTTCATCTGAGATGAATATTCAGAATATTTCAGAATGCACAGTGGCTGTCTAGCTGGCAACAGACTGAGTTACACCCACGAAACGTTGACATGGAACCTGGAAATCGATCTTTGGAAGAGCTTAGCTTCTTCCACAAACCAGTGGGTTTTCAGGCTCCATGTGGGTCTCAAAACGCCGCGTCATTATCTCAAAGACCCCGCCCAAAAATACCCGTTTTCGCCTTCCAAATGCCCGTTTCGGGCACCGGTTCAGGCGGAGTTGGTCTTGGAAAAGGCCACCCAATCGCAGGCGCGCCGTGGACTGTGGACGTCTATCCCATGCAGAAGTCGGGTCCGTGGCCCATGTCGGGTCCGTGGCCCCCCTCAACTCCCCTCATTTCATTCAACAACGCTTCTGTCTATCCCTAGACCTTTTGGCCCATATCCTGAGGTTAGACCATCCTGGCACCCAACCCCACCACCTAACCTCAGCAGGTAGTTGGAGGTCTAGAGTATTCAGCTGCCCCTCTTTAGAGATTTTTCAGTGGTGTTACAGAAGCCGACCATGGGTGGTCGAGAGCTCATGGGTGGTTTCTGTGCTTCGGAGCTGGTCACCTCCGGCAGCCCAAGTGGTTCTTGACCAACACGGGTGTGTATTAAAATAGGGGAGACCTCTCAGTTCGACCCCTGAAAGAAGGAACATGGACACAAACCATACTCAAACACAACAGGTTTCAAAGCGAAGCGAGTTCCATTTCCGCATGTCCTTCACCAGACCTGCCGCGGCGTTTTCGGTACAACAGCGGGAAGTGTGCACTTGGCTGTAAACTGGGCCGCCGCCAGACCTTTGATTTATATATTCCCTAGGGATCTAAGTACCTCCTCAGAAGGTATTTGGACCCTCTGAACCCACCCCAGTCCCCACCTTCTGAGAAGGTACGACTGGAGCCCTAGGGAGTAATATGACTGAGGGCACTTCAGGATGGCACCAACAACCTTACACCTACTTCGACCTGCTTCACAAGTGCTCGTGGACCATTGCAGCATGCTTCCTTCTTTTTCCGTTTTGGTCTGCTGCTCCTGTTCTCGGCTGTCTCGGCCACCTCATATGGACCGCAGATGGACCCCCAACAGTGGAGGCCCTCTCCGCGGAACCAGAAGGGGGTTGTTTCGCCAGGACTACCAGCAGAAGTCCCGGATGGCCACTGCCGAGGGCTCGCTGGAGGCGCTTCGGAGCGAGCGAGCGAGCTCTTTTTTCTCCGTCGGAAGGAGCGATCGCGGGAGAGAGGATCAACATCACAAGCGCAGCCGGGCACAGTGGTTTGTGGACACTGATTCATGTATGCTGTATGCATGTATATATATATAAACCTAGAACCTGAATGACCTATTTTAGACCACCAACCACCCAACATATGGCCTTTTCCTATCAAAACAGGGGTCAGTTGGGTTCAAGGTATATATATATATATAACAGGGCCCTGTAAGGCCCTCAGGGGTGGTGAATGGATACCCCTTGACCTCTAAGGAGCTATATATTTCATCGATTGCATGACATACCGTACAACATCCTGAAGCTCGCTAAAGTAGTGTTGCGCAGGAGGCTGCTCCTGAGGAGAACCAATTGGGCAACATGTGTTGCCTTTTCATGTATAAAAGCGGTCTTCGAAAGGCTGATGTTTTGCAATGCTGGCAGATCGAGGTACTTTCAATTCTCAAAAATGCATCTTCGCGGCCTCGAGAGAAAGAATGCCGGTGAACGGTTAGACCAAGATATATAAGATATGAATGTGATTGGTCCGTTCACCCCTAAAGTTGTAAAAGATATACAGATAAGACTAAGACAGACATATTTTTAATCATCAAAGACACTATACCAGGAGTCACAAAGGGGTGGTGTTTAGTCCCTAAGTGAGTGGAGTAGCTGGGCACCCGTATCCTCCATGGATAGCACCCCGTCTTGTGACTGCTGGTAGAAGTAATTTCATAACTACCTTTGTGCGGCGTTCTGTTCTCGCTCCCACGAGTCGACGTCGTGCGAGCCATCCTTCCACGAGCCACCTTTTTGGCGGGTGCGGGCACCGACGCCCAGGTTCAACAGCAGCAAGTTTGGTCATCCTGACTTCGTTTGGGAAAGGCACTTGTGATGGAACAAGCAGCTAAGCAGCTCAGACATTTCCAGTATCACTGGGATCTGAAGCTGCCTGCCAGAAATCGTCTCCTCAATGACATGCGACAGGACAAGTGTTTCGGCAGAGCCCTTCCATTGGGAGCGGGCAGTTTACCTCACCAGAATCCCGGAAGGGTTAGGATGTTTTGGGCAATGCTCATCCAATTTGGCGGGTTTTGTTCTAGCTCAGATTGACACCATGAAAGTGAGTGGTCACTGGTCACCCCACACAGGTGAATACGGTTTTGCAGGTCTGAACTTGGTTTTGCTCGACCCGTGCCAGGATGCAACAGTTGTCGAACGAACTGTTCAACGAAGCCGCCTCCATCGGAGACCAGATTCTGGTACCGATGCCCGAGCAGCTTGGGACGGGGGAAGCTGCATGGAGAACCGTCAGTGCTGGGGTACCCTGTGTGGAGTCACAAATCCTTGCATTTTCAGACCTGTGTGCGGCAACAATCGGCCACGGCAACAATTCACCTGTGCGGATTCCGCCGGATTCCGCCGGCATGCGTGCTGAACGTGCTGAAGAGGTACTACTTTCGAGCGGTGGGCCGTGCTGAAGAGGTACTACTTTCGAGCGGTGGGCCGTGGGTTTCTGGATATTTTGTTCTCTGAATGTACCAGGTGGGAGTTGATTGTTCACATTGAGTGCATTGAATGGCTCTAATTTGCTCGAACTGGCCATGATCGGATCCAAATGGGAAAGAGTGTTCATGAGTTTTCCTTACATTGCAACCATTTGTTAGGCAAATGCATACCCTGCATACCCGTGAATGGCACAATCCAGGCCCAAACTTTCCAAGAAACTCCCACCAAAATTGCGAAAACATCCCTCGCACGCACTGCAACGCAGGACATGTTTTCACTCACCACACATTGAACTCAATGATTTTCGACGATGTTTGCTCCCTCCAACGCTCAAATCCAGAGCCTTGAGCCTGGGTTCATTCCAGGGTCTTTGCAATCGACCTCTGCCGAGCGACCTCCAAGGCACAAGCAGAGTCAGCCATTGGCACAACCAAGAGTGCGGTGATCAAGGCTACATGGCTCAGATGTGTGTTGTTTGTTTTGTTTTTCTCATGCCTTCATTTGTCCTGTGTAAATCCGCATGGTCAACGGTGTTCTTTCCCTGTGCCAGCAGCTAGCTTTCACAAAAAATGGTTCCCCCCCTTAGACTTTCCGCTGCCCAACCGCCAGTCTGACTGTCTCTGACGTTGCGACTGGGCGTCCCTATAGACTGGACGTCCTATGGGCAATCACCCCAAGACCGTGCGCAGTGCGCAGAAGTCCATATGGGGTATACACCTAAGGTGAAACCATAGGATTTCCTGTATAGGTGTTCCCTGAAAAACGAAGGAAGGACTGAGCATGACTGTGCCGACCAACCGACTCTTGCCTGGCCTTGTCCAGATGACTGACTTGATGGTCCCGACTTGCCGAATCCCCAGACCTGGAGAAGAAGATTCATTCTTTCCCCGCTCCTGAAGCCGCCTGAAGCAAATCCAAGATGTGCCTCTCCTCTTGATTCTGTTCAGCGCTCGCCCCCCTGCCGCCCTCAGTGGTGTGTTGGGCATGGTGTTGCGTGGTGTGTTGGGCGGCATGTGGCGTTCAATTGCGGTCAACGTGAGGTTCTTGCGGCGTGCGACCCCTTGCAAGCACTGGCGAAGAAGCCGGAAGAGGACGGAGATCAGGGGACCCAGCTTAGCAAGAAGTTCTTGAAGGGGTTGACTGGACACCCTTTCAGCATTTTTCAGCTAACCATATGTCAGGTCAACCCGCAACTGCTTGTTAATTTCTAGAAAGCATTGTCGGTCAGGGTTCTCGTCACATGCGCTAACGGGCTCTTTTGAGCAGGTGGGACTGTGGTGGGTTTAGAGGGTCCAGTCATCCCTTCTGAGGAGGTACATCTGGAGCATGGGTCGGGTATGTGTTCGTTCGGGTCCTTCCGCCAGGCCACGCGGGTCTCCAAGTCCCAGCAGTTGGCCACCCAGGCAGAACAGCAAGCGGAGCGTGGCAACTTGCCAGCTGCTCGGGCTCAACGTTCCGTCCGAGGACGGACGAGAGAGGTTGTATTTGCCGCAGAGCCTACAGAGGTATCCAGTGACCTGAACTAGGACCCGTCACCAGGGGTACCTATAGGATAGTCGAACTAGGGTTCTTCAACCTCTGCTGGAAAGGGGGGGAGCAGATGGGTGTGGGATTTGAATAGGGAGATGATACCT